GAGAGAGAGAGAGAGAGAGAGAGAGGCACAGCTGCAGAGACGACGTCGGTACAGGGCGCGCTTGGCAGTGAGGCTACTGCTCAGAGCACGTAGTAACCACACTCCGATGGGGGATTCACACAGAGAAAGTGAAAGAGAGGGAAAGGCACTCAGGGAAAAGAGAAAGGGAGAGAGAGAGAGAGAGTAGCGAGGAGCCAACGACGGCGACAAGGAGGAAGCTGCTGCTGCACCACTCAATCTATACAGCTGCATCAGCAAAACTGTTTTGCCGTGCAGAGTGCGACTTTCCCCGGAGGAGCTGAGCATTCAGAGCTACCTCTGTGCGTGCTTGGCTTTACTTTAAACAGCAGCACAGAGAAAGGCAACATCTGAATGTGGTGACTCCGGGGAAAAAGTTACAGTCGGTAGTGGCAGTGCCAGCCAGAGACAGACAAACACAGGCTGCCTAGTAGCAGTAGCAGACAGATAGCCACTAATGCTGCTGCAGCATCACCAGCAGAAGAAGATAGCCTTGTGGGTGAATGAAGGCGCGAGCGCGAGCGACTGGCGCCTGAATGCCATCCACAGACTGTGCGCGCCCGGTAGACTTCAATGGGCGACAGGACTACTATATAGCGCACTTTGGCAGTAGAAGGAAATGCAAGAGACAGTCGGCAGACACCGGTGAAGAGTGGGGACATGCAACATTAACATGTCGGAACGGGGTAGAGTGCGGCCAGTCTCAATCGGTCTTACCGCCTTTTGAATTTGAATTGAGAAGACCGCCAAAGTGAAGAAGGAACATCTATGCTGGCAGCTCTGCCTTGATCTTCAGCTTTGACCTTACTGTTTATTGACCTTGAGACTTTGGCACTAAATTGACACACATGATGAGAAGTGATGAGCATTCAGAGGTGATGAGTACTTTTCAGTTGACTTTGCATTCAAACGGTGGGTACTGCAGAAGAGTGTCCAGCACCGCTCGAGCAAAGTACGCCGAGGTGTCGCTCTTTGATTCAGAGTAAAACTGCAAAATCGTATGCTTATTGTCGCGCTCTTTCTTGTAGTGATTCAAGGCACGTTCTACCAGCTGGAAAAGGATTTGTCAATTAGAACAGTGATGATCAACGACCAAACATACCTTGTCCAGGTCGACGGTCTGGTTAAAGCTAAACATAAACTCGGGATTTCGCTCCAGAATCACGTGTATGACCATCAAAAGCTGTAAAAATGACAATTAGAAAAGTTGACTGAACACAACTCTTTGGTCCTCTTACCTCAACAAGAATTTGACGATACTCAGGGGCGGGGATTTGCGAGATAAACTCCTCAACTTTGACAATGAAGCTAAGATCATGCTGAGAAAGCATGCTGAGAATCGCCCTCGAATCAAGGTGATAATTGCCCACGGAGATCCCGACTGACGTTCTCTGGAGAATGTCCCATACTTTATCGCAAAAGTGCTTCGGAAATCGGCCTAGTGAGCCATCAATCTGCCGCTTCTGATGGGGCAGCAGGTTGCTGTCAGTGAGAACCCGATACAGCAGGCGCCGAACGTGACTGGGCGAAAGTGACTCCAGCTCCATTGTGCCCGACTCGTCCTCCTGCTTGTACATCAGGTAGAATCGCATGGCCTGAATCAAGCCCGCACCGACTCGAATGCGAAAGATTCCATCGAAAAGGTGCGGCGAAGTGGCGACCAGCCGTCCAGCGTAGATGATGATCTCCTGCTGCAGCACTGACTCGTACACGTCCTGCTCCGGACGATAAATCAGCCCGTGGATCTCATTGGGCGTCTTCGGGTGGTCGATTAGCACCTCACCGGGCCCTGTGCCCAGTGAGATTTGCTTGCCACACACCAGAATATTGGTGATATTTGGGGAGATGGAGTCCACTTGCTTCTTGAGAATTGAACTGCAGAAGCGAACCACCGACCAGTAGCGCAGGGCACCGGCCTGTCGTGCCACCTTCACAATGTGCTCCTGGACGGTGGTGCCAAAGGGTAGCACCAGGTTGAGGCCCTCACGTTTGAGCAAAATGTAGAGCAGCTGGCTCTGTCCGTAGAGTGTGTTGCAGTTCTTCAGCGCCTCCATCACGTCTGGCCAGGTGGGCTTTGTGTCGAAGGCCTTGTAGTCCACCTCGATTGGCTCAGAGTAGAAGATGGCCTTGGGGATGTGCGTCAGTGACTGGTAGCCGAGACCGTATGTGTGCTCCAGCTGGCGAAAGGACTGCAGCGTGGGCAGCTCCTCCTGAGCGAGCATGTGAAAGAAGTCGAGGTGCTCAACACAAGAGGAGCTGATCAGATTCTGCAGTCGGCCGATCTTCACCTTCAGCCCTGACGATTTAAGGCAGCCATTTTTGCATTCCACCAGCAGGTCAAGCATCTCTTTGAAATTGGCATCCCGCAGGTGCTCTTCACGCAGAATAAGACACACCGTCGGCCGGCCACTCATTCTCCAGTACTTGCCCACAAAGTTGAGCTCATTCTTGATGTCGTCGATCAGCAGAGCCATATCGTGTGACAGGTAAAAGTCAGAGTTCTCAAAAATCAACGGGTAACAGAGGACGGTTTGGCCCATTATGCGGTACAGTTTGCTGGTGCCCAACGAGCCAATGGGTCGTGGTGGACGGCCTTTTAGGCCTAGTTTGCGGTTCACGCCCAGGTACTCGTAAACCTTGACCAGTTGTGAAGGTGGCCAAATCTGGACTGGCTCTACCTCAAGCGGCGTTTGAGTTTGTATTCCATAGGTGGCCTGCAGTTGGGAATAAGAAGGGGTTTAAACTAATTTGAAAATAAAACAGTTTAATCAGTACCATCATCGCTTGCAGTCGAATCGATTCGGCAATGAGAACCACCTGAACGACTAAATCAGATGCCGTACCCTAAGGAAAAAATAAACCCCAGTAAATCTCATAAAGCACAAAAATCAGGTAAAAACAAACAAAACGAGACTCACATAGACTTTGCCCTGTTAGTGGAAAACATGAAAAAGATGGTGAGACGAGAAAAGAGCAGAGTTTGCAGCTATGGGCAAGGCATGGGCGAGGACAGAGGACTGATGCGAAAGCTAGAGGCGGTCGCTAGCTGACAAGCACACTTTTGTTACCTGAAAGACCGAGTATCTGCCCATCTTGCGATTGCGCTCGTAGCTGGGCGTGTAGCGACGCAGAGGGTCGAGTTCGTGCACCTGCAGCAGACCGCCGAGCAGCAGTTGGGTGATGAGCAACACCGACTGACCCATCAGGTACATTGAGTTGTAGGAGGTGCCATCAGAGTCGGGAAAACGAGGCGCAGAGTTCGGACTGGCGCGCTCCAGTTCAACGTACTCGGGTGGAACCTTAGGAAACGAGGGGCACAATATCACAATAAGTCCAAATGGAAATAACTCAAAGGTAATCAACGAACATAGTAGTATTTAGGCATTATGTAGTCGCCGTAGTTGGGCTCTCGTTTCAGAAGCTTTTCAAAGAGCATGCTTCGGTACTCCTGCAGTTGCTGTTCATTGTTTTTAAACTTGGCGTCAATGATGAGGAAGCAGCAGAAGATTGGCCAGGAGCACTCAATGTTCTCAAAATTTTTAGTCTCTCCGCTCTTGTAGTGCCTCGCTGAAAGGTACAAGTTTATAAATGATGAATGTTAGCAAGAAAGAACAGATGTTTTACCTTGAGATTCAAGTACTGTGCCATAGCCATCACGGATAAATCGTTTGAAGCCGTATGGCGTCTTTAGTCGACTGATGACCTTCTCCTTGGTGTGCTGATACAGACCAATGTCGTGCGTTGCAAAGCATGGCCAACTGATGGTTGGCAGGAGAGAAGCATCAGTGTTCTTCGAGCTCGATTCCCGAGGAAGCAGTGTCTCGAATGTACTTCGATTTCTCGAGTGTGCGTCAATGTCAACGTAAATGACGCTCCATGAGGCGCCCTTATCACCAAATAGATTGCAGCCATTGATGGACTCTAGTGCCGACTTGGCCATGCCAATGGAGGAGGCGTGAATCTCCGGTGTGCCGTCATTGTACTTTGAGCCGCGCTCCCACATCCCAAAGTCAGGCGTTCGGTAGGCTCGCTCGACGTAGTAGACCAAGTTCTGAACAAAGTGAACTTCGTCCATTGTGTAAATGATCTGCAAGCCTGAATTGATCATCTGCGAGAGAAAGAGCAGGTACAGGGAGATGACATCCAACTGAAGGTGGCCGTACTCGTCCTCATTGGCTATCGGCAGTCCCGTCACTAGGTTCACTTTGGAAGCTAGAGCATGTCGAGGACTTTGATTAGCTTTGAATGCCTCCACTTTGTCCTTTGACTGCCTCATCCACGACATCAAAATTCCCCGCATACACTTGACAGCCGACTGGCCAAGGCCGTACCCCGCTCCATGGTCATCGTCAATCAGTCGATGGTAAGCTTGATAGGTCGCCCAAATGGCACTGGCGCAAAATATGGAGTCGAGAATGTAGGCTTCCTCTGTCTCATTTGACATTGAGGGGAACAGTCCGGTGGTGGGCGATTGAAAGCGCAGAATTTGCCGTTTCACTGTAATTCAAACACCGCAAAAATGTCTCCAATTATTACCTGGATGACAGGCAAAAAGCAGGCAAGACGAGCATACCTTGACCATAAAAACTGTCCAAGCTACGCATACATTCCGCATAGCTCGTGGCGAGATGAGCCGATTCATGGCTGGAGTCCATCGACGGGCTTTGTAGTGCCTGTGCTGTCATCATCCTTTTTGGCACTTGGTTACACCGAACAGGCGAGGAATAGTCCAGGTAAAGTGGCCTGGTCACAGAAGTACCAGATACCAGACCTCGGAGGTCACACACAGTGCATTCACTGCGTGTGCTGTGTTTTTGTTTATATCAGGACATCTCTGCGAAATTACTTGAAGGCGGTCCTCTGAATACTTTGCGCGTAGACGAAATTGTTGCTGGGCGGAGCTTATCAGTAATCGTTTTTCTGAAAATTCGTACAAGTTGATTGCAGAAATGTTGATCGCAAGACAGGAAAAGTCAAACACTATCGCACCAGGTAACAATTAAAAACCAAATCCAATTCTTTCCAACACAGCTTGCAGAAAACAAAAGAAACAGATGAAGATAAAAAAGGCAACTTTGAAAGCGAAAAAAGCCTTTCTTAGAGCTCTTTTAGATTCGTTGCCCAGCTTGGCGTTACTCAAAAAGAATGAAAATGAAGTGAAAATTATATCTTTACAAGTTTCAAGTTCTCTGAGCAAAGTTGCCGCGAAAAGGAGTTTAAAAAATGTCTACCAAGCTCCGCCTTGGGGTGTTTTGCATAACTGACCATTCGGCGACCTGTCTGTTGGTCGTTTTTTAGAGCCCTGTTTTTTGTTGTCAACATAAACGACTGTCTCTTTCTCTCATTCACCAGTGTCTCCGACTGGCAGTCTGTACGCGGGCTTCAACTGATGCTGGTGCTAGCAACTTCGTCGTCTTCTAATCACCGCCATTCCCATGTGAAGCTCATCGTTTATCATTGATACTCGCTCTGCGACTGGTGCACCAGTCACGGGCCATTTTCATTTAATTGATTTTCTACTGGCTGCTAGTACCATTTAACCGTCAGAAGCAGCAGTGATGAACATCATCGACAATAATTCGCTCACACGCCTTTTTAAACCATGGAAGTGGAAGCGGAAGAAGAAGTCAAAGAAACCCGCCAAAGGTAAGTTCTGTCTGTCTTTACAATGGTGGTTTCAGTGGTTAACCAAGTGCACTTTTCAAGGTTCAGCTTCCGAAGATGCAAACTCCTTAGCGCCCCAGTCAGATGGCAACCAGCCTTCGCAGTCAACTGCCGATGGCAATTCGACAACGACTACGACGATGACGGCGACCAACAGTGCCCAGCCTGCTCCCGGAATGGCGTACTTGAAGGGCGCGGTTGCAACACCGTTTGTGACCTTATCGAAAAACCCTGAACATACTCAGCAGCTAATGTCAATTCTGAATAAGCGTCAGTCAAGTCTGGAGCAGAATGACAGCGGCAGTTCCACTAGCAACAACAGCAGCCAGCCAGCGGTCGTTGGCAATATCAATAGTTCTGGTCTCCCAGACAGCGGCAGCATAAACGACTATTCGACTGCAAATGCCACTAAAGCCGATACATTTAAGGTTGATAAAGGTAATTTGCTAAAGTGCTTTTTTATTTGCCCAGTGTGTTTGTGCACTTGTACAGCCAAATAACTCTAACACTTGCCTAATTAATTCCATTAGTGACCGCCTCCTCATCAGTCTCCTCCTCAAGCTCGTATCTCACCAAGTCAGTAGTTGTCGTCTCATCAGTGAGCATCACACCCCCAGCCTCAACATTACATTCATCATCAGCATCATCATCTTCCGGCAACTCCAAGTTCTACGATTCAACAAAGTGCACCTCATCGGCGACCAGCAACAACAACTTCTCCATCAAAGACCTGTCACTTGAGTCCGTTTCGCCACTAAGTGTTTCTAACATAAGCGTCTCAAATATATCGGAGGAAATTGGTCCCATTCCTCCGCCACGAATGTTCAGCGACGCCGTCATCTCAACACTTCAGGCTGCCGAAGCGAACGTCAATGGATATGGGAGAGGAGTGGGAGCAGAGAGGAACGAGTCTTCTGGCTACAGCAGCACTGGCTCGTCCCGGTTACCGCCAATGGACATGAACGGTCACATGGAGCGGAACACACAGCTCGACCCACTGATTGCGCAGATCAACAGCATGCACATGGATATGGACAAAATTCTCAGAGGAGAGCCGCTCTGTATGGAGGACTATTTACAGTACCTCGAGGACGAGTGGAGTTCACCAATGGTGGAAGAGGTCTTTGCCAAAGAGCCGCAGTTTTCTGCTGTTCCCAAGAAGAGTGCTCTCAAGAAACCAAAGAATCAACCACCAAACTTCCCGCTCAACTCAGCCGTCATGTCTGCCTCTGCACAAAACGGTTCCAGTGAGCTGCAACAACAAGGGAACAAGGGCTCTTATGTGAACCATCACTTGCTCCAGACTAACTTCACTAATGGGTAGGCTAATTTTGGACAATTCGTTGTCAGGTTAATTACCACAACCACCTTTTGTTCCTGTTCTCTCTTCCTTGTTGCGCAGTTCGGTAATGTCTAAAGTGAGACAGTTTAATGGTAACATCATTGGCGCCAGCAGTAGTAACAGCAGCAACAGCAGCGAAGCAAAGCTGCACGTCGCTAAACTAGGGCACATTACGCCTTCCATCACCTTGACAAACGCTGACCTGAAGTCGTGCAGTATCAATGAGACTAATGAAGATGACGACGACGACGGGTCAATCAACTGGAAGGACTACTACGGCGACGATGAGAAAGGTTTGCATTGCCAATGACCAATGCAATTCACTTTTCCTTTGTAGCCCAGTAACACTAACACTTTACTCTAAATACTTCTTCCTCACCAGGCAAACTTGTTGCCAAGCTGGCGCGGAAGGAGTCACTGCAGCTGAAGCTGCTACAGAGGCCCGACAAACAGGAGCTGATTGATAAGAACATCATTCCGTGTATGAGTGAGAATGAGCGGCACGACAGTCGGGAGGCGATTGGCTCCAAGCTGAACCGTCGTCTCAGTCTGAGGCCTACGGCTGAAGAGCTTGAACAGCGAAACATTCTCAAGCAGCAGTCGCCGGATGAGATTCGACAGGACAAGGAGAAGACCAAGCAAACACTTATTCGAAAGGTAAGTGTCATTGTGTAGTGCGGTGAGAGGCGGTGATCGATTAATCTTTTACACGACCATTTCCCACCACCACCACCATTACACAGCTAAGCTTTCGCCCGACGATCGATGAGCTGAGGGAGAGGAAGATTATCCGTTTTAACGACTATGTGGAGGTAACTCAGGCCAACGACTACGACCGGCGGGCAGACAAGCCTTGGATGAGGCTGACGCCTAAAGACAAGGTAAGAGTAGTGGGATGGTGCTCTCCATTTGTCCTAAAAACTCGATCGATTCTGTTACTCTCATTTTCCTTCTTTTCTTCTCCCTCTAGGCTGCTATACGCAAAGAGCTTAATGAATTCAAGAGTGCTGAAATGGAAGTACACGAAGACAGTCGGCACATGACCAGGTTTGTGCGGCAAAGACCATTTTTTACTATTTGCTCATTACGCCAAGTCAGTATCCAAGGACTTCTCACACTTGGCTGCATATTTTGTCTGGAAACATCAACATGTGTTTATTGATTTGCAAACCTCATAGAAATCATACATTCTCAACGCTTCAATTTAATTTAATTTAGGCATCATTGCGGTAAAAAGGTATCGGTAGAAGGTAAAGATGATGGCCAAAAAGGCAAAGCCCATGTACAAGGCATACAAGCGCCAAGCAATATTAACCGTTATGGTAATGACTATCTACAACTTCTCCATTGAACATATTTCTCTTATTGATTAGTATTGATTTTGATATACCACAACTCACAAGCACACTGTCTTTCGACACGCAACTTTACTTTTATCTCTTCAACCTTCTAACTTTCTTCTGCTCTTCTGATTGCACACAGGTTCCACCGATCCGGATAAGATAACGACCAAAGAGGTTGTAGTAGAAGAAGTGAAAGAAGTGAACAACGATGACGACGCCAGCCGAGCGAGCCATCAATAATTGGAAAATCTGTGATTTTATCTACCAATAGATTTTTTATATTATTAATTGTAACTTTTTTATACGAAATCCCCACTTTGTTTAATTTTTTCTCTTCAATTAATCTTTTTTTATACATCCCCCCTTATTGTTTCTTCTTCATTCTTTTTTACTATCACAGACGAACCATGCTTGATTCTCAGATACCCGATACACTCCTTCTCTCAAATGCCCCTCCTCCTTGTACATTCATAGCTTTATCTAATACTTGAACGCCACACACAAACAACACACAATAACACCCACAATACCCCACAGAGACACACACACATTCCATAGGATGCAAAACACTAGAACATGTGTTTTTATAACTAATGGATCATTTTTTAAAACCCGTACCCACTGACCAGCAATACACAAATGATTTTTCCAGTGTCCTTCACATTGTTTGCATGTATTTAATGCGTCATTTATTTCGTCCTTGATGACGAACCTGGTGTCACAACGAAACACTGATGAGGTAAAAGTTTTTTTAATGGCCAAGAGTTAGTTAGTTAGGGCTAATTTATTGGAATTCACCATGTTGTCTACGAACGAAAGCGAATCACTTTGGTGATATGAGTATTGCTCTGAGAGCTGGTAATTGACAGCTTTTCTTCTTTGGAAGCTCTAATTGGGCCTTTCTTGCGTGGAGTATTTTCTTGATAGTCTGGCAGCTCATACTCACAGCTAATGACTTCAATATGTTGTACACCTTTGAATATTTCCAACTTCTTCTGGCCAAGCGATTCGACTAGGAAAAGCACATTGATGTGTATGTCTTCTGGATACAGAATTTTATTGATAGTTCTGAGAAGATCCGGAAAAATGGTTTTTGAATGAGGAATGATTACGACGAGTTGGCAGTTGAGATTGACAGCAAGATTCAGTTTGACGTTCACTTCAACAGTCATCAGTAAGGTGAGATCATCCAAAGGACGGAATATTTGCACTTGCTCCAGTTTCCTCTTTTCCTCGACAAAACGATTGACGAATTCATGTTCATTGAAAAAATATCGACCATCCAACACAATGACTCGCGGGCGGGATGCATGGGCTATATTTGGCTTGCCTCCGACTTCTTCGAGGGCACTTCGAATCAGTGAGTTCATGTACATTTTTGAGGCGCCAATTTGGTCTGGATCAAACAGGTCAACAACGACAATTTTCTCTAGCAGTTTCAGTTCAGATGAAACTAATCTTTCTGATTCAGCGCGCGCTTTTTTCAGAAAGTCCATACAGTTTGTTATGTCTTTTTCTTTCTCCATATGTGATGAGAATGCGAGAACTTTGACAAACTTGTCAAACTGTTTTGTTTTTTGGCAAAAACTTGCGTGACTAAATCACGTGAAACGAAAGGAAAGTGTGTTTGCACAGTGCCAGTTACTGCCTGATCTGTGTAAACTGTCTCGGTCAACCGCGTGATGCTCATGCGGTTCAATTTATTGTTGATCATCTTTAGCCGACACATCTGCACCTAATAGTATCGGTTACTTTTGCAACAAACACCCATCCAAATCGCAAACCACAATGTCTTTTGATTCGCTCGACGATTCTGCCTCTGGCATGGACAAGGAGTTGAAGGAGTTTTTGGCTCTGGAGCAGAAAAAGGCTCAATTTCAATCTCAGGTACTCAATTTTCAGGAACCGGTGTTTTACATCAACGATTTGCTTCACCAATGACTTTTTTAATCTAACTACAGATTAACCGACTGAATGACATTTGCTGGGACAAATGCGTCACTGATAAGCCCTCTTCAAAGCTTGATTCTCGAACGGAAAACTGCTTGCGTAACTGTGTTGATCGTTTCATCGACTCGTCTCTAGCGGTCACTCAGCGCTTTGCTACCTTAATTTCTAAACAGCAATAATTATGGTAATTTATGTCAACAATTTGCAAAGACCGAGACGACCAATCTCTGCATTATAGTTTATAAAACGATTTTTATGTTAGTTTGTAAATGTACAACAAAATAAAGCTTTGTAGGAGTTTTACTGCTACAATTTTTGTAAAATTGTGCTTTTGTTTGCGATTAATTGACATGTTTTAGATTTAGATGATAAAAAGATTAACTTTTTATGCTGTAGTAATGCATCGTGGTTCACTACAATGTTTTTTGGTGCAAAAGGTGTACCAGAAAGTAAATATACCTGTCCTGTCTCTACTTCTATGAACGAGTGGCTGCCTGGGGAGCACGTGATTGGCAGACTGCAATGCGAGGATCCTCGTGAGGATACATTTTCTTGTAGTATCATTTCCGATGATTCTCTCCACTAGGAAGCATGCTTGCTGATCGCTGGTAAGTGACTTGACCGATTTTAACATAATTTAGTCTTGAACGCTGATGATATTTTTACTTGATCAAAATGAGTACACTGTATGATTACTTTTCACTTCCTTGGATGTCTGAACATGCACACTGTTTTAATCAAATTGAGTTTCACTTTCTGATTTGCTAACAACTTGTTTTTATTTGTTTAGATCTCCGGCTGCTTAAATCAGTTTAGAAGGCAAGTGTTCATAAAATTGAGTAGAAGCATTTCAAGTTTATGATGACTTTACAATTGATCCTCATGATCTCACGTACTCGAGATTCAGAATGATTATTTTTACCTCCTTGACTGATCGACTTTAAAACTAAACTTCATGTTATTGTGTTTCCTAAAGTGAGCTGACCTTTTTCTTTCTTTCTTTTAGGCAAATCGTTTCTGCAAATGCGCTTTCTCTTCTGTGAAATATCCTGACCATTTATAGTAAGTGTGATTTAGGGAAAATACAGTCCCTTTTTATATTTATGATGATCAAACATTTGTTAAACAATGAGTACACTGTGATCTGTTTACTTCCTTGGATGTCTGAGCTTTTGATATTTTTCTTTTCCACATCTCTCTTTTCTCACCACTAACTTTTCATCACCGGTTTCGCTTTTTTGCAGAACTTTCAGCACACATCTGCTTTTGGGCAATGTAATTATCTCGTAGATCCTGGTCTCTTGTTGTTCATTTCTAATTATAGTAAGTGAAAACTGTCGCTAGTTTGCTAGCAAAAAGATTGACCTTAGCGAGGTGCAACTTAATTATGCTAATATTCACTGTGTTTTTTACAGGCACCACTTCAAGGCCAATTCCATTGGCAGGAAGGTTAACTCAACTAGCAACACTGTAAATGGTCATTCCGTTATGTAAGCACTAAAGTGCATACATTCTGTTGTTGCACAGTGCTCTCTAACGAAGAATTCAATTTTTGCTCATTCACTCATTTTGTTCTGCCCCTTGATCTATTCATCATTAGCGGTGGAAACCATGAATAAAGTACGTTTTGTCTGCCCCAAGTTCAATGGAAAAATGACTATTTAGGCTCGTTGTGACGCTATTGTCTGTTGAAGTGTCACTCTGCTGTCACCATTATCCAGAGAGAATGAATCATCATCATCGTTCTCTCTGATGCCTGGATGCGTTTCACTTGAAAACTTTACTTTTTCACTTTCAGCAATGCATTGCCCTAAGCTTTTGCCGTTATACGCGCGCGGTTCGCCTCTGCAACTGCAATAACTACAACGGCACTTCGTCCCACGCGTAAACTGCTCTCCATTTGTTTGTTTTCCATTTCGGCGGTCTCATCTCTAGCCTACACTTTCGAGGCACGTCCGAGTGGTGCTCCACGAGTGGAACACTGAGGATTGCCATCCTGCGGATTGTGGCCAGTCGAACAGTGCTTGTGTGGTGGTTGTGTGAAGGCGCGAGCTTTAGAGCAGTCAGTCGCGCGCGCACTGCACTCTTCGCCATTGCTTCTTGTATTCATTACCACGGGCGCCATTATTTGGGGTGAGCATCAACAGGTGCAAGCGATGGTCGCCGCCACCACCGAGTCTCGTGTGCTCACGCCGTCCACCATTTGCCCTGCAACGGCGGACGAGTGCGGTGTTAATTAATAACTGCCGATTAGTATTGTTAAGAGGCAGACGAAGAAGTGCTCCACTGGACGTTGTGGTGGTGTGGACGTTCTTGTGCTGTTGCTGGTGCTGTTCGTGTGCTGATGTGCCTGCATCTAGTGCCACCGCCAGTTATCAGTGCCGCCGACTGCTTCCTTCGCGGGCATCTGTTTGTTTTGTCTCCCTTCTTACGTCGTCTTCATCGTAGTCCACTGTCTCATCTCCTCTCTCTTCGTGATTGTCTCTGGCCGTCTGTTTTCAGTTTGCTTTCCCTCTGCTCAGTTTAGAGTTTTTTCTAAAATCATTGCATTGTGTCAATGGAAGTTTATGAGTTATTCGATATGCTGCCCCTTACTGTTTCCACCATGAGAACAGATTGATCATCATTCAGTTTTGACGTTTTATTGCCGTCCATCACCTAAAGTGCCCTCTGCTTCACACCACTAAATTCACCCCTGTGCCATTGTTTGCCAACAATGCTGGCCCTGATGGGGCAGTGTTTTTCCGAATTATGCAGCGGCGGTAGCTACCGTAATCGCCGACGGCCCAACACAGCCTTCAGTAACGGTCGCTACACTGCAGAGACTCCCAGTAATGCTTCCTTTTCTGATTCATTTTATGTAAATCATTGTAATTCCCCTATTTCACCCCAGATCCAGGGGATCTAGTGGTAAGCAGTGTCAACTACCTGATATCAGGGAACAGTCGCCGCCATCGGACGGACAAGTACTTTCTCAGCAAACGTCCCATTCATCCGCAGCTCATCATTCGACGGGGACAACCGTTCGACTTGCGCATCACCTTTGAGCGCAAATTCAGATACGGCGAGGATGTCCTCAGTTTGGTTTTTCTCGTTAAAGGTATGCGTCATACAGTTAATCCGAGCATTGCTAATGCATCTACAACCTCAGATGAGCCAAACCCTAGCTACAGCAACCGAACTGAGATCACCGTCCCAGTGCTGGACGAAAGGAACGCTCGCCGGTACTCCTTTCTGACTGAAAGTCGATGGAGTGCTCGCATCGTCCTCACCGATGGCAACTCAGTCACCATTGAGGTGAACTCTTCTCCGGAGGCCATCATTGGAGAGTACAACTTGGTGATTGACACAAAATCACCAACCAGAATCGACGACTCCTTCTACTCTAATCCCATCTCTCAGTCATTCATTATGCTCTTCAATCCCTGGAGCAGAGGTACGGAGGATGACGAAGTGAATGCTCATGTGACACTCTCATTTTCCCTTCTCTTTGGCCAAACACAGGTGACGCCGTGTTCATGTCTGAATGGCAATCTAAGGAAGAGTACGTGCTCAATGACCAAGGCCTTATTTGGCGAGGCACCCACAACCAGATGAAAACGACACACTGGAATTTTGCTCAAGTGGGTGGATGCACCGCTAAACGATGGTGGCAATTGTGTTTTCAAACATTCATTCTTTTTCTTGTTTCTTTCTCAATGACACATCATTTGCATACGATTACATTAGTTTGAGGAGAACATCATCGAGGCTTGCCTCTACGCTCTCTCCAGTGTGGGCAAGCTGGCTCCGGCAGATCGGTAATTTGAGCAACGATATTCATTGCCATCTTATCACTCCATCACACTTCTTCTTCTTCTTCTTTTGAAATAGTAATGATCCCATCAAAGTGTCTCGGCACATTGCAGCCATTGTCAACAGCAAAGATGATAGAGGCATCGTCGTCGGCAACTGGGGAGAAGACTTTAGCGGCGGCACTGAGCCCACAGGCTGGCACGGCAGTGCAGCTATTCTCCAGCAATTCTATCGCACCAAGAGGTCGGTCAAGTTTGGCCAATGCTGGGTTTTCTCCGGTGTAACCTGCACAAGTAAGAAGTGAACAATGGATCGTTTTGTTCACTAACCATACATTTGTCCACTGCAGTTGCGCGATGTCTCGGAATTCCCTGCAGAGTGATCACCAACTACCTGAGTGCACATGACACCCACAACAGCATCACCGTGGACCGGTTCTTTGACGAGGACGGCGAGCCGGTGAAGAAGCTGAACAAGGACTCCATCTGGAACTTCCACAGCTGGGACGAAGTGTGGATGAGCAGACCGGACTTGTCGGCGAGCGGTGCTTACGATGGTTGGAATGTGATTGACGCCACGCCACAGGAGGCTTCCACAGACGGCACCTACCGCGTCGGACCGACCAGTGTGGAGGCGATCAAGTACGGTGAGGTGACCCGACCTTATGACGGTTTCTTCGTGTACGCTGAGGTGAATGCTGATGAGGTGTACTGGCTGTATCGAGAGGACAAGAAGCCGATGAAGCTGATAACACACTCTACTGACACGTACGTCCGCATCATATGGTCGAGTGATTTGCTTAACCGATTAATTTTTTTTAGAATCGGTGTAAACATCTCAACCAAAGCCGAGCTAAAGGACAAACGAATGGACATCACCTCAAATTACAAGCACAAGGAAAACAGCAAACATGAGCGCGAAAGCATGATAAAGGCGCTGAAGATGACGCGCAACTACTTCTCTCGTTACTACCTCAACGAGAAGTTTGAAGATGTTCGCTTTGAGCTGCTGCCCATGGAGGACCGACTCATCGGTCAGTCATTTGAGGTTCAAGTGCTCACCACCAATCACAGCAATAAGGTGTACACAGTAGAGATGACGGTGCACGTCAGAGCAACGCCCTACAACGCTGAAGCGCAGAGTTGGCTTGTCAAACAGGAGCACCTGGTCAAGACTATTGGTCCTAGGAAGAGTAAGTGTTGAGAAAGATAGTGCTGAAGATAAGTTCTGAAAATGACTGTTTTCTGTTATATCAATAGGAAGCGACGCTTCAGTGGTGGTAACATTTGACGAGTACAAAAACCGCCTCTCAAGCCAGGCCATATTCAACGTCTCTGTGATGACAAATGTCCTTGAAACTGATTACCAGGTACACATTTGTTGCCTTCTAACTACACAATGAACTGATGCATTCTTTCTTTTCTGTCACAGTTTTACATGTTCAGTGATTACCGGTTGCGTCTGCCTGACATTAAAATAGAAACCGAAGGAGAAATCATCGTCGGGCGGCCCTTTACATGCCACGTATCCTTCCTTAACCCGCTCGCAAGACCACTAACCAAAGGCGTCTTTTCCATCGAGGGACCAGACTACTCGACACGTGTCACTTTACCACTAAAAGGGTAAGTTTTTGAGGGTTCAAGTTAAAACGCGGTTTACCATAAACATTTCACTTTTCCTTCACAGCATTGTGCCGGCAAATGAGGTGGCGAGCACCTTCGCCATTCTCACTCCAAAGTCGGCGGGCAAGAAGCGCATCACTGCCAAGTTTAAATCGCTCGAGTTGAATGACGTCGACGGAATGGCGGCGATTAGTGTGGCGGAAGACACCGATGGGAATAATAACATTGAGCGAAATGTGATAATCGACGATAACAACAACGAAGACGAACTGCCGGAGAATGACATCAACTATACAACTCGCACTCATCGCACCCGCCACTGAATGCAGTGAATTGAAACGCCACCGTCGTCGCCTCTCTCACTTTTTTTCTCCCTGCTCTGTCTTTCGTTTGACACTGCAGCTGAGCCGTCTATCAGCTCGACACCACTACTTATACTGTGATCGATTAGACTATAATTTATGTTTTAATTGAATGCTTCGGTAATTGAACAAATAGAAGTGCTTGATGTAGTAGACAAGTCTGGTGGTAGTAGTAGTAGAAAAAGAAGAAAACTCGGCAAACGAAAATACAATCCATCAATTAGATTTGCGTAGGAAAACGAGTGAGTGTGAGTAAGAAGAAGGGAAGGATGAGGTTAGGCAAAGAGAGGAAAAGATATGTCTGTCTTGGCCGAGGCAAAGCTGTGTGCGGCGGCAGACGGTGGGTGATGGCGATGGTAAGGGTGTAATGGTGATGGGACAGGCACAGGGTGTCAGAGAACAATCAACGGCTTGGCGACTGCCATTTTGTTCGTACAGTGCAGTGGCAAGTGCAGCCCCTGCAGCAGAACCGACAGCAGAACGCTCAGTGGGCGACACTGTGAAATGGCGGAGAGGGGCGAGAGAAGGAGGTACAGCTGACCGGAGAAAAGGCCGATCGGGTAGGCGACGGTGAGGAGGACGGTCAACCAGAAGAAGGTCCAGAAGCACTGCGTCAGAGGAGAGGAGGAGATGGAGTTGGGCGAGCCACTGCCGCCACTTACGCCATTGTAGTACGCCTGCTGATTGCAGTTGTTGGGCACGTGGTAAGCGAAGATGTTCCGACGGTCGAAGGCTCCAGAGGTGTGGTCCCTACAAACAAAAGAGGAGGAGAAAGAGTTGAAGATTATGCATGCTATGCAGTTCAGTGCAGTCGCTACACTGCGTGTCTTTGTCTTGAGAAGGTGCCAATGCCTCCCTCGTGGACAAAAGTAACTGTTCTGCTGAGTTGCTGTACCAATGTCTCTCCGTCTGACTGTCTGACTGACTGACTGTGTTCTTTTTGCTGACAATAGTCTAAGTGTGCATGCCTTTTTGTGCCTATTCTTAGCGAACCTCTGCGGGTGCCGTCTCTACTTGACAAATTGCCCGATGTCATCAACGATGAGCAGCAAAAGCGGTGAAACAGCATCAGTGGCGAGCAAGACAAGACTAGGCAAGTCGACAAGCGAAAAAGTGATGACGACGACTGGAGAGATTCATCAGCGGATCTTATTTTATACATCATTAACTCGCCCCGTGTGTCTGCCCGCGGATTAAATTACTCAAACTGCAGTACTGAGTGTTTTTTCTGTTCTCAGCAAACACAAGAGTGATTGGACGAGAAGGGAATGGAATATGAGCATCAGGAAGGACCAGAAAAAGCACCAGAGTGTGCCCGGCAGTGTCCAGTGAAGCATGGTCAGCAGCGATGGACGGCATCTAGCGCCCGAACACACTGACTGGCAACATTCCATTTGATTACCTTTGATAGGGCAACCATACAGCAATGGCATTCACTGTTTCACCCCTACTCACCGAGATACCTCCACAATGGGCACAACTTTCAGCATTTTTGCAATTTGTGTCACTCGCACTGTTTAGGGAGAGGCAGAGAGCAATTCCAATTAGCCGCGAACGACGTGGACAGTTGTCAGGGAAGAGTCGTTGACTGCAGAGTAAGGAGGAAGAGGAGGCTGAGATGATGGTGATGATGATGATGAGGTTTGGGCACTGTGGTTTGCGGTGGTGCCAACAACGGTGTTACTGTTATTAGCGTTATTGGAACTGGCAGAGTAGACAGTGGGACCGCCACGACTAGCACTACCACCAGCACCGGACTGTGATCCGCACTGATGCGGACTGACAATTCGTTTAGCGACTCGAAGGGGCCACTGGACAAAGTTCCGAAAGAGGTACTGCATGGAATTAGAGAAAAGCTGACAGGACTGCAGAGGCTCAAGGAGAACGTAGAAGACGGTGACCACTGAGCTGATTGGAATTACAATCACTAGCAGGCCGAATAGGTAGAGCACACGGACGAGGATGGCACCGACGGCGGAGGACATGATGGGAGCATGGCAAACAGAGGCTGGTAAAGATGATTAGCAGATGCAGTCGAGTGTCGAGCTTGCAGGCAGTACTTTCCAGGCCATGTTAGGCCTCGGGCGAGAGCTGATTGGGTGAGAGTGCTTCAGAAAGCGGACATCATGAGAGCGGCTCAATCTGCTCACAGCACATGACATACAGCTAATAGAACTGGTTACGTTTGGCACATTTTGTCACCGATCACACCAAAGACGACCGAGGATAGAATCTCTCGTGAGGATTGTGTGCACTGATGCGGTTGCTTTGGCGGCTTCTGCTGACAAACACTACTTGTCGAGTAGTGTGCTACTGGTTGCGACTGGCTGACTTGAATAAAAACTTAAAAGTTAGTCTAGAAAAAAGTGAGAGAAAGAGACTGTGGTGCACTTGAGCACTGGTTACCCGGTCTTTCATGGTGTCTTGAGGTTTGCCATCGCTACATCACCCAACACACCGAGAGCAAAGAATCGAATTGGCTCGGAAGAATTCTTCTCCTTCTTCTTCGCCTCTCCTGCAGCCTGCTCCACAGTGCCAGCAACAGTCGCAACTGTTAAGTGCATTGCTGCGAGTTCTTTGGCAGGCGGTACGTGTCACATCGGAAGCGCAGGCGAGAAGAACGTGTGCTAATGCTGCTGCTGATGCTGCAGCCACTCCAGCAAAAGCGATTCGTCTAGCTTGCTAAGCTCACTCTTCATTCTTTACTCTTCATCGTTCACACACTCTTTCTCTTTCTACATTTCAACTAAATAGAACGCATTGTCTCCAGCTAATGTAGTTGGCACCAGCTGAGAGTGCAGTCATCTCTCTCTCTCTCTCTCCACTTGCATTCATTCTTGACCTTGTAAATGTACAGTGCAGGCAAATTTACAATTTTACAATCACAATAGTACTGCCGTGGCTGAGCATGAAGACAACAAGATAATCGCCGTCGGGTGAAAGAAGACAATATACCATTGCTTTCTCGTTCTCTTTCGCCAACTTTCAACAGCTGGTGATAGAAGAGCTGCTTCTTCGACGGGAGAAAAGAATTCCCTGTTCAGAAGATAAAGATAGATGACATTCTATCGTTCTCTAATTACTGTCGCTCATTCCAAGTTCAGCAACACCGTCCAATTCGATTGTGTCTGCAGCACTGTTTTCTCTTCAGTCTGATTGTGTCTGCACTTGGCAAAGCTGGTGGCATTCAACTTTTTTTTATTACAATACCAAAGTTAGCAATTATGCTTCGTTTTTGTGTGAAGGCGTACTGAGAATAGCCGTCAAATAGGGGCGATTAGACAAGCAGCAGCTGAAGTAATCGATGCACTTCGGAAGCAGTGACTAACTGACTTGCACTTTAGGCAGACTAACTGGGCGCCATAGAAGCAGGCACAGGCAGCTTATCTGTCCAGTCGATCGCTCACTAATGATCAAATGCATGTCCAGTCAGTGGCTGACAAAGCAATGTCTCACTGTCGTTCAATAGAACTGGCCTCTCTCTTTCTCATACACACACTCACTTTCACTGATCGTTGTCTGGTGTAGTCAACATCGACACTCTATCGACAGTTTATTGATGTTTGTTTATTTGCACAGACTTCCTCCAAATTGCTTGTATAGTTTGAAGAGTGAGTACAAAAAAGTATTCAAACTGCAGAGTGCAAAAATCGTGGCCCTCACCATTGGCCACTACATTCACACATTGAGATTTTCTTGTGCAATGAGCTATCCTATCGGTGATATGCACTGAACATACGAGNCCCAAATTGCTTGTATAGTTTGAAAAGTGCAGTACAAAAAAGTATTCAAACTGCAGAGTGCAAAAATCGTGGTCCTCACCATTGGCCACTACATTCACACATTGAGACTTTCTTGTGCAATGAGCTATCCTATCGGTGATATGCACTAAACATACGAGTAACAAAAAATCTCTCTGATTACAATTATGAGAGCTAGTTGATAAAAAAGAGTGTCAGTGAAGGAGAGAGCCGAGTGTTGATCACGTAATTGCCTCTTCACTTCACACTGAACGCGTACTTTCTGTGGACAGATTACACTTGTAGATGGGGATTTAGAAGAGAACAATTTGCCCATAGGTGGGCTGCCCAGCTCTCTTGACTACACGTACTTCAATACCTGAAGACAGGACACGTGTCCTCAGTAAGCAGTGACCACTTTTTGTTGCCTGTCACAAGAAAAAGTAAGAAGAAAGAGTCGATAAACAAAAAGACAAACAGCTATCACTTCAACACCACTCGAATCAACTGATCTGATCTTAGCTGCCAAATCAGTCATTTTTTTTCAGTGGACACATCATTCGATTTGTTTTTAGTATTTAGAGGCCTTTTGCCAATTTCTATTTTCCATTTCTGTTATTTGTGTGTCTTCTTTTACTGCATCTGCCTCGGTATCCTCCTGGCATTCGCCAATTTGTCAAATATTATTTTGAAAATTTGCCACCAAACTGGTGCTACTTTGCTTCAAGTGTTTCTCCTGCCTTTTACCCTCCACAATGGAAAGTCCAATTAGGAAGCCAGTGAGCGTCCCCAAATGGCTGCAGGACAACAAGTCTTTCTTTGTGCCGCCAATCTGCAATAAACTCATGTAAGCACTGAACTGATCTGACCCCAACTGTTCTGCCAAAAGAGAACATCTCTCTCGTTTTCTTTCTTTGGCACAACTTTCATTTTGGAGCACTTCTTCTCATAGTGAATTGAGCCATTTTGTACAGTTACAGCAATCAGCTGAAGGTATTCTTCGTTGGCGGGCCCAATCAGCGTTCGGACTATCATATCGAGGAAGGCGAAGAAGTAAGCAAACAATTAGCAAACACACAAACGCACACGACACGACACGCCACACAGCGCCAATTGGGACAGAGCAGCACTGCTGACTGTGGGTGATGGCCTCGTGTCGCCACAAGAGCCACCAATTGACAGGTCATTATATCACTGCTCGACAGGTGGTGGCAGTGCTGC